TTTAAATATTAATACCAAATTAACATTTGTTCATCCATACATAAATGATTAAAATATTTTTCTATAAATATAGATACTGATTTAATATTTAAATATTTAATAATTAAGCATATTTTAATATTTAAATATTGATGCTGAATTGATACTTAAATATTGCTTGCAGTAATTCCATTATTTTTTACGTGGTATGTATAAAGCAGTCATAATAATATTATTCAATATACGCTGTTGCAAACCATTAAGCAAATATAACGAATATTTATTAGCATGAATAAAAGAAAATAATTTAATGGAATTACGCAAAGTAAATTTGTAAATTTATTCTAGTTTTTCAAAGCATTTGTGAATTTCTATTATTATTCATTATAACTGTGCTTTCTTAAAACATAATTGCAACTGGTTTTGATCATTTTTTAAAGATATTTGGAATTTGCAATTTAAAACTTTGCATATAATATTATGTTTTTACCTAAATTCTTCTTTATTATACTTTTTAAAAAAGGTCAAATAAATATTTATCCGTTTCTTTGCTGAAAGATGTTGTTGTATTGCGCTGATCAAAAGTCGAATAATTTCTTACCCAATTATTTTATTTGTAAATTTTTCAGCAATAATAAACTTTTGTAAAATGACTATTATAACTTTTGTAAAATGACTATTTTTCTTGTCTGTTTAGATCATTTAAAATTTATTTCAATGAATGAACTAGATTGACATTATATTCATATTAGGTAGCATTTTTGAAACATAAACTCAAGTATGCATCACAACACGAACAAATAGTGGCATTGATTGATCGTTTTGTTCAGCTAAAACTCGATCAACTTAAAACCAGTCAACATAAATTTTTCATCGATTCCTTCATTTATGGATAAATATCTGGAAGAAGAAAAAATACCACGATCAGGTAATAAGATAGTGATTGAATTTACTTTTACAAGTTGTATATTTTTTCTTGTCCATTTGTCTAAAATGATAATCTTACAAAATATCTCGATAAAAACTGAAACAATTATTGTCTAAACAGTAAGTGATTACTTTGAGCAGTTATCACATTGAGTTCATAAATTGTTAATTATTCATGTATCATCAGTTTGACAACTTGTCATTTTTAATCGTAAAGTAATTACTCAAAGCAATGACTGAAATTTTACTTTCATTTATTGTTTTTGTAGTGAAAAATGAAGCTGAACTAATCGAGCTAGTGTTCTTGGATAATAATTCAAATTAATAAGTTTTTATTTTTCAGATTGTGCTGAACAAGATGTTCTTAAAATGTTCTTGATAATAGATTAAGCACGTCGTATTGTTCTGAGTTAAATATTTATTTTCATGACATATCTAATAAATGCGAGTTGAAAATTAATATCATGATTTGCATTTGTTTCTTAAAATTTAAAACGTTTATGACAATTTTACGACTTTTAAAATAAATACTTTTATTAAATTTTGCTAAAGTCATTTTGTTTATGTTTAATGCTACACTGTATTTTTAATCAAATTTTGCCTTATTTGATTACAAGAATAAATTCTTCGAACTTCAAATACTTTTGTGATTGATACCTCCAAAGGTTTCATTACATCAACAATATAATCATCTCAATCTCAAATAAATTTATTTTAAAAATTTAAATCCTAATACTTAACTATTATTATTGTCTGTTGCAAACATTAACTCAACTCATGGCATGAAATATGATTAATTTAAAAAAATATTTGCTATCGACATTAATTTCATTACTGATGTTGAAATATAATTAAAATTTTATACCGTTAAACTAGTTAAAATAGCCTAATTTTTTCGAAACTCATCAAAAATATTTGAAACATGCAGTTGAATTTCGTTACACTTCTTGTTGCCTGTTCTGTATGTACACATATGGCATAAATTCGATCTTAGTTTTTTAACTTTTGTGAAAATTAATCAGACTGATTAATTATTAAATGATTTGCAACAGTTTGTTGGTACATTATAGTTAAATTTTAGACCACATAAACAAAAGCATTTTATTTAAAAAATTCTGTTTCATTGACGAAAATTTGCATATACTAAACAAGCAGTCAAATGCTTTTACAGCAAAACTTTTTGCATTAATAAAACAATTAAAGTTTGAGTATTTTCGAATTTTAGATACATTAACTAACTGATAATATTGTCATTTGCATAAATATTTTGAATTGAATATATTGTATTACTGATGTATGACAGTTGCGAATTATTTATTTCTAAAGAATATGCCTTTTATAAAATTCATTTATGGTTTTGTTGAATATTTTTTATAAAGAAAAGTTATGCAAAGTCTATTTTAATGGTATATTTTTTGTAGTTTCTTGAATAATTAATTCTTCATTACGTTGCTAAGTTTTACTCCACCTATCCTCCTTTAAATGCATTTTATTCCAATAACATTTTTCGACAATTATTTACAATTTGCAAATTTCAATGGCTATTACACACATAAAATGAATAACATGCATATAAGTAATGATACTTGCTATAAGCATGAAAAAATATGAATCAAATAGTAAATAGAATATCGACAAGAATTAACAAATACTTATCAAAAGTATAGTTGCTTTGAATGATAGTGAAATGAAAATAATAAATAACAATTGTATCGCAGAAACACGGACGTGTAATGTAATGAAAAGATGAAGTCGTTTCAAAATGTTCTATCTTGTGTCTAATTAATAGACAAATTTTTAATGAGTTACTTATTAAACAAAAATAAATAACTAATTTTTTACTTACTCATTGGTATAAAATATCAACACAATTTTTGAGTACAATGATGAAAATGTTAATTTTAATCATAAGCTATTTTAAGTATTATATATAACTTTGACTTAACAATAGTTTTATTTTGATTTATTAGATGATTTGAAGTAAGTAAATTTGTTAAGTTGCATTTTTGAAGTGAAAAGTTCAATTAAATGTAAATAAAAGATAATAATGTCAGGAAAAACTCTGTCAATGAAATAGGGACGAATAATTAACTTAAAAAGAGAAACTATTTGATTTGATAAACAAAAAGATTTACAAACATTCATTGGAAAAGGAAATAAATGAATAAATTGTGAAGAAGAAAAATTCTAATTACTGTTTATGAAAGAAAGTGATAGAATACTTTGAAATGATATAAAATGATAGCAATTTTTTAAATGACATAATAAGAAATGAAATGAGAATTAAAATTAAGTAAAATTAATAACATTTCTATGCAAAATTTTGTCACATTTTTTAAATCTATTATTTTGTCAGTTAAAATTTTGATTGGTTGTTGTAATGTGAAGTAAAGGTGAGTAGCAAAAAAAAGCAGAGGTGTTAATAAGAGAAAAATGAATAAACCTATTAATTGCATTTTATTTAAAAACTGTAAAAATGATAAAGAGCTTGCATATTTCTAAAATGAGAGCAAAAGTCTAGAAAATAAAAACTAAGTAAGTAAAAAAAAAGTAGAGAAGAATTAATTTGCTTGTTTATTTATGTACTGAGCTGCAAGAAAAGTATACAAATACATCTAGTGTTTATTTCAATAATGTTCAAAAAAGACTTGTTTTGTAAATTATTGAAATAAATATTGAAAAATTATTATTGCCATTTGATGATAAGTTATTTATTGGATTAGAAATAAGCTACATAAGTTATAACTCACATCCTATATATATATATATATATATTATAAGGGCGGAAGTGTTGCATAGTGCTACTTTTCAAAATTCCTAGTCAAGAGAAAGTATTTGGAGTAAATATGAAAAGAGCAGAAATACATGAAAATGCATTGAAAGGGAGAGTTGAAGTGAACGAGGAATGAACGAATGTACAGTGAAAGCAATGCCAAAGAGAAGAACGAAAGAGAATTATAGTGCATGGATTGGATTGGTGGAGGAGAGCTGAAATGGAAAGGAATATAAGTTTCAATTGTGTGTTTACATAAATTATTTATTCAACATGTTAGTTATTAAGTATTTAGAATTAGTTATTGAGTAAATTGGTTATAAAGAATACGAAAAAAATTATTGCACACAGAGAATTTACGATTATTAATGGAATCTATGTAAAATTAGAGGAAATGAAAGAATGAAACAAAGAAAAGAAATGACAAATGTGATTGAAAGTTGGAAAATTATGTTGAAAAAAGGAAAGAAAATGTAGTATAAACTATGGAATCAGAAATGCAAGAGAGAGGGAGTACTAATGGATTCTGCATATTTAATTAAAAAGACTTCATGAAAAGACAAATAAATATTGATATTGTGGTATACATATTATAGTAAGTTAATGTATATATTATACTTGGCACTGTAACATATAGAAAAAGAATTCTGAAAAAAGATTCTTCAAATGTAAATAAATGATTGAATATAGTGAATTCTTTATGCAAATCAGTCATAAAGAAATACTGAGTGATGTCAAAAAATTTTCTAACTTTTAATGCCTGAAATTGTCAGATACTGAATAAATATTATTACTGCATGAATAATTATTATAAAAAATCTATCCATTTCTAATGCTAAAGTAAATTATTGCAAAAATTTGCCAACTACATGAGAATGGAATCAAAAATTGTCAAATTTCATTCTGAAAACTCAAAAATTAATCTTTTCTCAGTTTGAAAGTAAGAAAATAGAATTACTTTCAAAATATTGCACCAATACATTTAGCAAAGTGATGATACAAAAACTTCTGATTGAGAGAGTCATGATTTAGCTTGTTTTGCTCTAAAGAAAAATGATATGATGACAAGAAGGGCGCAGAAAAATGCTCCACAAATAGCAACTACAGCGGAAAATGTACCATTGGAAAAACATAAAGCACCATGATTATGAGCCAAATGAACAGGTGATGTTTCAACAAAATTATTGTGTTGTACGTTCAATTTCTCAACCGTATTACCATTGTCCTGTAGAAATTTTAAGTTAGTTATTCAAATTTTAACAATTCGAAATTTCGTAGAGAGTACAAAAGTTTAAAATTGCCAAGAAAATCATTTTAAAAAGTTCTATTTGAGTAATTTGTGTCTGCATTAATTGAACTACAGCAAAGAACTGTATTTACATAATTATTTAAATGACTAATTATTTTTTTAAATATTTTTTCTAAATGGATAAAGTGGAAAAATTGCAGAAATTTATTAGAAAGATTTTATGAATCTTTACTGAGAAAAAAAAGTTCAATAAAATTGAAAGTGTTTCATTCACCTGTTCGTCCATAATATCTAAAGCATTCATTTCGGCTCTCACGTCTAACGTATTTGTAGTGTCAAAACGTAAATTTGTGTCACGTCGTTTACGAAGTAACCGTTGGATGGTTTGAGCTTGCGTAGCACCAAATCCTTGAGGTTCAGTACATTCAGGTCGAGCACATTCGACATTCGGCTCTTTAATTGTGATTGAAATTTGACACTGATAAAAGAGCTGAGATCTATCTGCATACTTGTAAACATGCGCTTCTTGACCAGCCATCAAATCTAAAGCACAAACAATTATTAAAATAAACATTCACTGTGGCTAATATATTAAAAAAGTTATGAAAAGTTGTGATCTTAGTTTGATCATTGTAGAGGGCATATTACGAGAGCATATAAACTGAAAAATGCATGACAAAGAAAATAAACTGACAAAATTGATAAATTCATCGAAAATATAGAGTGCATTACTAATGAATTACAATCATAATAAAATGACGTAATTCCTGAAGATTCAGAATGAAAGAAGTGTAATTTAAATTTTTACTAAGGAAAAATAAGTCGTGACCAGATTAATTTATCGCGGACAATTTCATATTAAGATAGTGAGGATATTTAATTTCAATGTATGGAGCAGAAGAATGATTATAATGGATAAATATAAAGTTCTCATGAATAAAGTGGAATTTGATCTATCCATTTCTTATAAATATTATTTGCTATTAAAAAATGATGATAGATTCTGCATTAAAAAAGTCGAAAATTAAAATTCATACCTGTAGGATACTCCAAATTGTTCAGGAGATATTTATCAAGGGCACAACCTTGTTCATTAATTAAATTTACACGATCTCCGTTTCCGTCATCGACGTAACAGGAATGCACTATCGCGCAGAATGTATCAACAGTTTCAGAGTCACAAGTCCATTTATGATACACTGGCTGACCAATGGTGGCATAATGAATTGGCTGCCCTGATGGACCACCTTCAAGTATCTATAAAAATTTTCAAGTTAATCCTTAGAATGTTGCAATGAAATTAATGTATTCAATTTTATTTTCTGCAAAATTATTGGTTAACATTTATTATTATTAAAAATTTGTCGCTACAAATCTTAAATATCACTATCAGTCTTAAATATACTGAATCTCAAAGTACGTGTGTAAGCTAGAATAATACACAATTGGATTTTCAAAAGTAAACGTAAAAGTTACTTCGTATCGACAAATAGGCATTGGCACTAGTTGAGTGGCAAAGGCAGTTGTCATCTCGGAAACTTCAATTTGAGTGCTGACTGTTTTATCAGCTTCCATGTAGAAGCATTGTAGTCTATATGCTCGATCAATTTTTGTAATAAATTGTGGATGAAATGTGATCACGACCACTGCTGTTACGAAAATTCCACGTGGATTTAAAGAACGAGTTCTGGCAACATTGCAGGAATCAAATGGTAATGATATGCCAGCTAACTGACGACCACCTTCATCGTTCCGACATTCTTGATTTTCATACAAGCCTTTAGCGTAAACGTGTCCTGAAGACAAAAATATGAAAGATTTTTAAGTGCAAGAAAACAATTTCAGTGCAAAAGCAAATAAATTTCAAATTCTAATCCAGAAACAAACAGCAATTTGTTATTTTTAAACATTCGACAAAGAATTTTAGACACAAAAATATATGACAGCAGCAAAAAGAATTCAGTCATTTAGCGTAAAAATTTTACCTTCAAAAGGATTTCGTGTATTGAAATTAACAGTTATAGACGTTGGGCCACATTCAATTTCCGGTTCACCTTCTACACCGTTATCAATAGGAATTGCATAAATAGCACTGATTATCACAATAGTAAGCACCAGAAGCGCTTTCAAGGAGACCATTTTTGAAGTTTTATGAGTTGATAATTTTATCAGTGATAAATATATTGATAAAATTGTGGTAGAAAATAAGTTCAGAAAAGTAAAAAACTTTTCCAGAAGATAATTTTCTGGGGAAACTGAAGAAAGCAAGGTACTACTACAAGGATGTTGAGATATTTGCTCTGAAGAAACTCAAACTGTGAATTTTAGAAACAAATAATTTAATTCATATTTATATATACCGTGATGTCACTCTTTATGAATGAAATGATATTATGAGGTTAAAGGGCGGATAGGCAAATCACTGGTTCCGCCATTTTGATGTTTTCATTAAGAAGAATATGACAAAGGATGAAAAAGATCGAAAAGGTATTTGGTTGCCGACCCAAATTAGACATTAATCATGATATATTTACTTCATATCCAAGGATATGAAAAAGTAGAAATTTAATCCAAACAGTTAAAAAAAATTGAAAGAAAGTATGATATTTGGATGTATGTACGTGTGTGTTTGTGTGTGATCTTTGTATATGAAATAATCACTCATTTTTTCCAACGGAAAAAATGTGAAAACCATCACTTCAGATATCACGTAAAATTTTTACCAGTGTCTTTCTCTTTTCATGATTGTTTATCAAAATTTTCAGTGTTTTGCTCAATTTTGTACGCTTATTAAGTCACATTTATAAGCTTTGAACGTCTACATCCATAAATGTTCATTTATTTTATATTTCTATTTTTAACTGCTAAAATGTTAAAAAGCAAGCAGTTGTAGTGGCCTCAGTCTCTATAATTTGCTTAACTGACGATTTAAAATTATGCTAATCAGAAGCAGATTAACTTATTAATTTAAAGCTTACTGATAATATGCTAAACTTTTATTTACAAATTATTCTTTTGATTATTGATATACCCTATTTGGATCACTTTATTATTGTCAGTTAACTAAAATAAACAAGTTTGACATCAGTGATATGCCAAATAGAAAATTTATTTATAAATGTTAAGTGATTTATTATTTTATCATCATAACAATTCATGCAAAATTTTAACTCTTATCGTAAGGTAAGCTGAAATATCACTGATACAATATCCTTTGTAATCATACTGTATTGTTAGTATAAAAACAGAGTTCGGAGTATGTTTTTTAAATATAACCTCTAAAAAAAATTTTCATTTTCGATATTTTTTGTACTAAAATTCATTTCACCATTGTAAAATATTTATTGCTTCATTATTTTTAGGTAAAGCATATGGATTCTGATGCTACACACATATTCATGCAATAGCGCATTTGATAAGCTTGAAAAGTAAATAGGAGCGAAAAGTGCTTAGCATAGAAGATAAATAATCACTCATAAATAAAATCTACAAACATAAAACTTTCAAGATGGGATGCTTTCTTTTCTTTTATAAAATGTTAACAATTAAATTGTCTATCAGAAGGTATAAATTTTAAAATTAAGGACTGTTATGTCTTACTTTTCCGACTAAAAGTACTATGAAAATACTTCAAAACAAAACTTTAAAAGTAGCTAAAATTGCTGGCTTCTTTTATCATATTTCTGTATATTTGATGTAGCAACAAATGTTAACTAGGAAGATACAGCTGACAATCTCATGATGCAAGACAAAACTTTATCTCACGTTAAAATTCTGTGTTATTTTTCTTTTGTATTAAATTTTGTCATCGATAAGTATTTTACTATGGAACTGATGACAAACTGTACTTCATATTTCACTGCTCACAGTGAGCATTATTTCAGTCTGAGAGCTTCAGTGATCAGATCAGTAGTGATTGAATGTAAAATGAGTTGCAGATGTCGTTGTAACTTCACTTTGAATAAGCAATTGTAATTCAAACCTTACTTTTGCTGATCAAAACTAATAAATATACCTAGCATCAGAATTTCAATGTTTTCAAGAAATGAAATATTAAATACATTAATGTCCATTACGCACGCATTATGATAAAAAATAAACAAATACTAGGCAGTGCTTATGTCAAACGACAAGTAATCTGTGTAGAGGCGTAAATTAGCATCGTTTAACTTCTGAATAAATATGATGTTTCTATATTTTATTAACTGGACAAGATAAATCCGTGGAAAAAGAGCTAAAGTTACTATTTTCATTCAACTCGTATGAATTAAATGTACTTTTTGCTCATTTTCAGTTTTATCTTCAAATAATTCGAAATTTCAGTTAAAAAAGCGAAAAAAAAAGATTAAATTGCATATTTTTTTGACAATTCAATTGCTTTCTGGCACATTATTTTTGCATGTTTTGCTACTGATGCTTAGTTTGTTTCTTAGAAAAGGCTTAACGCGCAGATTCAATTGCATAACAAATTCATTTTCATTACGTTTGTTTAATTCATATTCGTTACTCAAGTTTTGTTCAATAATCTTTCACAGTTTATTACATTTTTCACTATTTTCAACGTAATTCTTTCTGACATTTCTTGAATGAAATTGAAACTTTCCGTGGGTTGTTATGATTTTGTACTATTCTTTCTTCTCATTTTTCAATTTTTTTCAGTATTCATCAAATTTTAGATCTATTCCATAATATTGATAATTTTTATTAAAGCTAAGATTAGCTTAACATAAATAATAAGTAGCACATACTTGAAAATTTTCATAAGTTCAAGTTTATTTTTATAAATTAAATGATATTTTGACATGTGCAATTTTAAATTATCATAGTTTTTTTATCTGTAATTTATCAGTTCATTACTATTTTCTTTGTTATATTTTATCCGATATCTTAATAACAATAACAGTGAATTGATATAAGGGGCAGTGATGATGGTGATAAAGATAGTAATATGTAGAAAATAAAATAAGTAATAATCTAATGTAAGGAGTGAAATAAATTGTGAGAAATTGTGATAAAGATGATTAATGGTGGTGATGATTTCTGGATTTCAAATGAAACATCCTTGTAAAACAGGTCATCTTTTCATGAAGTGTAGTTGGAGTGAATCCTATGTGCATGAGTACAATAAAAATATAGATTTAAAAAATAATCTCTAATTTCAAACGGACAAATTGCTTTGCAATCTCAAACTTATTTGTATTATTTATTAGTTTAAAAGTTAGTAACAAATCTAAAAATGATAAAGTTGATTGTTTTTCATTCAACTTCTTTTTTTTTAATTTTTAAAAGTAAGAAAATGTCAAATCGTATGCGATATTTTTTAATGAATTTGCATTTTCTTTTTAAATGTTAATATTGCAACCATAACGACACAAACAACAACATTGCACATAGTTGTCGTTTTTCAACTTATGTTTGAAAGTTCGATGGTCATTAATCATGGTGACCTCATAAATTTGAATGAATAAGAAAAGATTAATCTGAAGAGACAATATCCTGAATATATTATTGCCTCAGGGATTACATTACTTTCCATTCTTACTGGAGTGTACCCTCCCAAGGTGGATGATAACGATGTCTTCTTCTTTCCGTCTTTGCTTTATCGAGTTTATCGAAAACAATAAAATTTTACATTGGAATTCATGCAGATGACCATTATCATTTATTCTATTCAAATCCATTTATTCATTTCCTTAATCATCATTGATTTGTCTCTTCATTGACCTATCGATTTGTCTTAATCAGTCATTAAATATAATTGTTATTCTTTGTTTTATTTTATGAACATATTTCTTAATCCTCTGATATGCACCCACCCATCTTTCTTTTCTGTTGAAAATCGTCTTCTTTTTCTCAAATATCAAAATTTAACATTTACTTTTCTACCTTAATCATTTATCACTTTCAATTATTCATTTATTATTACACATTTGAAAATAGTACTCATAAACAAAAACTTTCAACAGCAAATTTATTCATTTCATAACAAAGCAGTAGATTGAAGAGGCACTTAAAAAATATTTTATTAATTGAAATCAACTACAAATGATAACTGATGGCGATTGAAATTTCAAAGCACATGATTTACTATAAAATTAAACTAAATAACTTTTTTGAGTACATAAATATGAAGGTTGGGGACTGAAATTGGAAGGAGACTGAAATTTTGCTTGCTTATTTGAAAAATGTCCAATAAAAAATATTAATTAAAGATGAAATATTTTTTGAATTTTTTTAAAATGCAAAAGAAATATTTGCAGGTTTTAAATTCACTTCAAGTTATTCTTGCAATTTTCTATTTTATAAAGAAGTCAAAGTGTCAAATACAAAATTTATGTCATTTTCAGGAAAGAAATTAAATAGCTTTGAAATTTACTTCGCATACAGAAATCAAAATGACTTTTGATTACAAAAAAAGTGAAAAAAATTTTGAAAAGTAATGCTTTGATATCAAATTATCGTTCATATGAGACATAATCACGAGAGGTACGCACGGCGGTGACTGAATAAGATGTTTTTTGTCTGCCCTGCATTTCCTGAAATTGCATATATGCAGGCTTAAAAACTTAAACTTTCTTTCACACTTTGCAAATAATAGAAATGCTTGAATTTGATGCGATGCACATGAAATATAATTAGAAAATGATTCAAACAATTTGAAATAGCCTGAAATTTTTTTGCTTAATAATTAATAACTGCACAAGTTTTAGCAGTTTTTTAAAGTTTAGAATGAATCAAAACTTAGCTTGAATACTTGCTTGTAGAGAGATAAACTTAAATTGTTAATCGTGATAAAACGTATACATTAAGCTAAGAAAATAAAGTAGGAAAAAATTATGTTGCGTATAGTTACAGCAATGAATTTGCAAAAAAGCAACAGACATTCTCAAAATTATTATCTCTGTAAATCATTTGGAATATGGCAAAAAAAATATTTGCTAACTGTAGTATTAATGTTTGTAAGAGTGCGATAATTTCGAATCAATGGTTGTGTATGACATTGATTCGAATGACCCCCTCCACGATAATTTTCATATCGTAATGGACGAGTCCTTCTATCTAAATACCAACAAGAATGGTTTCTAGGTATATTCTAATTTGCCAAGTAACAATTTACCGCAACTACTTAAATTTATTAATAAATTTAATTCTTTTTCACCAATGTTATTCATTTTTCCAACAAATTTTTCATTCTTATTTAATTATAAAATAGAATAAATAATTTATGACATTAAAAAATTAGCTTAATTTTGATTTAGTATCAAAAAGCATATTATTTTTCTCAAACTAAAATAATGTGATATAAATTTTGATTAAAAGTTTGTTCAATCAATTTTAGATTTGCGCAATCAAATTTTGAAAAGCCCAAACTTTATGAAGAAAATAATGATTACAGTAATAAAGAAGTCTGTGAAAACTGCTTAACCTCTTATTTTATCATCCGTTTTTAAAACCAATGTTAGTGGATTTATTTTAGGAGGCTTAAACATTTGCATGCGTGCCGGTGTTTGCTGAAATTAAGTAATTCGATTTTGAATTCCTTAACATTTAATTTATTTTTTGCTTACTCACAATAATGTGATATATATATACCATTGGGAAGCGGCAGGTTATCGGCTGATTGCTACCAACTGATAGTTGAGTAGAATGAGGAGAAGAATGCTCATCATTTGGACACTTCATTGCTTTTGATTCTTTCCCCATATTTGTTGGCATTTCTGGGGCGAGACTTTGACCAACTTCAGAGCATTAAATTATTAAAAGACTTGAATAATTTTAGCACACAAAATTACATGGCAAGTTTTTTGCAAAGTGTTTTTAAATAATATGCAAAGTAGCTTTAAAGTTTTATTATAACTAGAAATATGACCTTTCACTTTTAAATCTCATTGCTTTTTCACTCTCAATACTAAAATTTTATTTAATATAGAGCGAATGCATTATATAGATGACCTCTCACTAAATACATCCTTCGTTAAAAGTTTATTGTTATTAAATACCAAGCTCAAATTATTGTATGTGTAAAACATATTGCTTTATTACAGTGAATATATGCTTAATTTACGCACATTAAATCATAAGGCGTTTCGAAGTTAGTAGTATAAAATGTTTACCATATTGCCGATGTCGGAAGTTCTGAGTAGTTGATCGAAAGCCCGAATAATCATTATAGTTTCTGTTCAAAATTTCCTTCTAAATTGTTACGCTATTAAAACGCGTGTTAAACATTCTAAATACCATAAACGAATACTTACAATGAGTAATAGAAGTTTTATGATTTTTGACTTCAAGATAAAAATTATCTCCTAAATGTTCTCACTAGTGATTTGATGTCAAAAATATCTAATTTAATGGATTCAAAGAAGAACTATATTATAAAAACTGCAGCAAACAATTTTTAAATTTTAAACTAGAAAAAATAAATTTTTCTATAATTTTAATTATTTTGCTTGTTTAGTCCCGGATGTTGATCAATTATATTTCTGATCCATTTTCATAATTACCCACAAAAGTTTGAAGGTCAACTGTTTTATTTCTAACATGTTTTTCTTGCTCGGTTTTTGGAATATGTTACAAATTTAACTACTTTCACCACCAAAAAGTTGAAACATATAAATTTTACTGTCTTCCGAATTAATTTTTGTACATAAACAATATTTACTTGCACATCTAATGCCTTCCAAGTTTTCGGCCAACACAAATATGATCTCTCATTAGCTGGTGTCAAACGAGTAGAAAGAGTCACATAACGATTCAATCTTTCTTTCTGTCGCTGAAATAACATAAATTATCATTATTACTATAATTACTATCATTACTTACATAATTAATACTCTAATAAAATATGCTATAACAAAAAAATTAAAACTACAACTTAAATTTCGAAGAGTGCTTATTATGTCTTACAGCATGCAAGTTTGGATAACTAATTGAACATTGCTGTAAAGCTCAGATACAATTAAGTAAGCAATTGTCTTTGAAAATCATTCAAAAGGTCTTTTTTTGTGTGGAATAGCAAGTGCAGTACTCGGCATTTTTTAAATAATACAAAGAATACTTTCGGGAGAGAATCAATTTGCAGACGGAATGCTAGAGGCGGTCCATCAAAATTAATCATTAATGGTTTAATGGCTGATGCGTCTAGTTCCGTGAGTCGGAAACCGAAATCAACCAAACGCACAGTTACTGTTTTCTTAGAATCATTACAGTATTCCACGATTGCACGAGCATAAGATCCGCACTGAATCAGTTGATATTAATTTTGAATATATATGAAGAAGCCCTGATAGAATATGTATGAAGAAGCCCTAATAAAATTAAATAGATAATTCTTGCTAAATTCTATTATCTTTCAACATCAATCTTTTAGTTTTAAAAATGTCTTTACAATTTTTTTCTTTGAATTCATTATTCATTGTTGGAGTGGAATTTAAAAGTGTGCACACTAGTAAATATTACTACCTCCGTAAATCCACGTGCCCTGCCATCATTGACCAGATCAAGAGATTTAAAACGTGCATATACCACACAAGGTGTTCCGGGGAACACTTCTTCCCATTCTACTGCCTTCATTGCTTCCAGTTTCATATCTACTTCATCAAAACGTGGTGGTTCCTCACCATCACTCAAACGTACCCATGCATAAGGGCCTTCAAGATCGACAACATATACCTAAATATATTATGCTTGGATCAATCAAGCATAAATCCTTTACTTTAAATAATTGCTGTCATGTATGCTTCACTTAACTAACTTTTCGATAATTTACATAATTTTCAGTTGTTCCTCTTAACTGCAACGCTTTTGAATTTAAAATTCATATAATTCTGATTTTTCAAACTGTTTGCTTCATGCTTCTAATTGCTTATGATTTAAGATACATGACAAATATGGTATTATAGCTCATAATGAAAATGCATTTGCCAAGCTACTACAAGCTTACTCTATTAGGCGCAACTTTCCAGCAAGATATATGTTTCAGAGCATGCTTATACCATATTTGTCATTACCATGCTAATACCATATTTGTTTAATTTTTTGAATTGATTTCATTTATGCAGTAATAAAATAATAAAAACATAATATAATTTGTGTAGCACATGACAATTTATCCACTTTCATAATCAATACAATTTAGAATTTTCGCAAGATAACTAAATCTAAAAACTTGCCTTGTGTATCACATTCAGTTCTAAAGGTTTTCCGTAAGGATAACGAAGAACTCTTGTATCCCATGGCTCATCAACTGTTGAAACACTCGTTTCTTTAGCAGATAAATCGCTTGCATGAGAAAGATCGTTTTGACTTGGAATCTATAAATAGAAGCCACCACTTTTACCAACAAAAACTTTTGAATGCTTAACAGTTGAGAAATGAAAACAATAAACACGTCAAGTAAGCTGAAATCTGAATTTTCTTCTAGTGAAATTAATATTAATATTTATAGCAATTAAAACTTGACTTTTTTTTTGATATTAATAATATTTTAAACGTAGAAACGCATTTTAATTTACTGAAATTGAAATATCAAAATTTTATGCAAAAATAACTTACCTTTTCCATTGAAGCGACATTCACAATTACCGATCCGACATCATTTTCAGATTCCGAAATTTCCCCAGCTAGTGCTGCTAGAATTGCATACGTGATGTTAATCAATCGTAGTCTGATGATCGCTTATATTCTTGTTTTTTCATTTCAATCGTAAAAAAATTTAGGGAATTGAAGTTTTTAATTTGAGTCAGAAAGATTCACGATGTAATGTTTAGAACAGAATTTCAATCACTTTCATTTCATTTTTGCACTGCATCGAAGCAAAGCGTACTTTTCTGATATCAGAAATTCGATTTCGTTTGATATCTAATTCAACTCATTAATGCTTTTTAATCGCTGAACCAAATTTTTTAGGCTTTTTCAGACTTTGTTTAAAAATAACTTGAACAAAATTTTTTTAATTGAACAACTTCTTTAAATCATTTCTGAGTTCAACGTACAGTATCAGAATCGGCTACACTGATGTAGGAATTGTATTCTTGCATAGGTTTTTTTTTTTTGATTTCAGGTAATATCATAAACTATTTGACTTCAAAATTATACAGTCAAATGCATGACTGTTTAGAACATTTGAGATTGAAAGTTGGCAAAAAAGAGTTGTAAATCAACCTGCTTTATTTGATATCATAATGCAACTTGCCTTCTATGTCACAATAAAACTTCGGTACTTTATTGGAATCTGATTCTTTCGTCGGGAAAGGCACCTCTGGCACAGCAGATTTGACCACTGAATTTGAGCCTACGTTCGCACCAATTTTATTGTTGTCGATTGTGTTACTATCGGTTCTTTTGAACTGCAAACATTTTATGTATAATTAAATTACTTGCAATAATTACGCTTTGAAGGAAACAATTCATATTAAGTGAGGCTGGTTCTAATTTAATCTGCATTCCTCTAAAGATATGTTTGACGAAGTGAAAATCAGACAGAAATATTACTTACAGTACTTGTTTGACCCATCTGATCAGTAGAATTGAACCCTACTGAACTTCGAAATGGAGGTCTTGAACCTTGAACTAAAATTTTAAAAGATAAGAGAAAATTCAATTACGAGCTAATTTTAAATTATTTCACGCATTAAGTCTTCATACATGTGAAAAACAATTGTGCAGGTTATCTATGCAAGGTATGAAAACTGATTATTAATATAATCCTTATTTTTTACAAGACGTATTGAATGCGGATAGACTTTCAGTCAAAAGTCACTATATATTGTACAAAAGGGTGGCACATATTATTAATATATAGTAGATAAACCACTTGTTAATACAAACTAAAGCAAGTGGCTCATAATTACCTTTATTAAGAAAAGTAATTTATGCAGTTACGGAGTGTTTACGGTTTACTGTAACCACATAACAGAACCACATAACTTACTTTATCATTTGAATTACATAACTTAATTTATCATTCTTCATTGTAAAAGAATGATGAATTTTGTTGTAATAAATCTGCTTTCAAACGACGCAATTTACTGTAAAAAAATTTCAAGAATTGAAGCGATTAATATATACAAAATGAATAAATAATATATACCTCTGTTCATGTAAACACCACCGTAACCAGATTTCTTGTACTGCTGCTGATGCATTGACATCGTGTTCATATGAGCTAAACTTTGAACAGGTAAATTAAAAGCTAACTAAGATTTGTTTTATTTAAGCAAAAATAAAAAAGAGTGACTTTACAAAAATGTACCTTTGTCAGAAAAGTTGGTATCATTTTGATATGGTTTTGGTCGATTATTGACAAAATCACTTTTGTTCTGAAAATATTGGAATTCTAAAATATAAAAAACCAAACATACTTAAATTTGCGGACTCATACTTTGATATGTTGTCAAATTGACAAAATTTGAGTGCTACGATAATGAACTGCAGCATTTACTACTGACTATTCATTATAAACACAGCCTGCTTTTTATATTTTTTGCAAGCTAAGCTAATAATTATTTCAGTTCCAATATTCAAAAATAATTCATACCTGGATCGTATTCTTATCACCACAATCTTGAATCTTGTTTGGTTCCTAATATATCAACTAATAGTATTAGCGATCTTCATAGTTTTACAGTAAATGTCATTTAATATTTTTGTAGTTGTTTTTAGCAGAAGCAAGGTTCAATAACCATCATAATATATTGTTAGTTTACAATTACAGCTATGATTTTGTGTTTATGATATTATATTTTTTTCAGTATCTTAAATATTAGTTCAAAACATTTAAGCGGACTAACTTTTTGTGCAGCCCAATTTTCCATTGGACTGTTATATGGACGGGTAATGTGTAAGCATTTCATGATATACCGATGACGCAGTTCCTTAATTGTTTACTAATTCTTTTCTTCATATATTATCGATTGAAAAAAATGAATATAATAATTAAATTTGCAGCAATCATCCCTGCTAAATCTCTACTTTTACAATTATAAGAGTCAATAGAAACCATCCGAAATATTACCATAAATATCAGTTACTTCTCATAAAAATACAAATTTAGATTTGTAAAAGATTGAATCTGCTAAACATTTTGTAATACTTCAATGACTTGCATGCAAAATTAAAAAGAACTGAAATGCCTTCAGAGCAAATACTAGAAAAAAGGAACAGTTCAACTAGTATTACTATCATTTTAAAGCTAAAGGACTTAAATAATAATACTGAAATTAGTTAATAAAAAGTTTGTAAAAGTAATCTCTGAGTTTATGAACTATATAGTATAATCAGAAGTACTTCATGTGATACGTTGGCCTTCATTGCAATAGACCGCATTTCGTCATCAACCATTTCAACCAGCTGAGTCCATTTCCGATCAAATTGTCCGAGTTTCATTTTCAGAAATCAGAATATCCGGAAAGATATGAAGAAGCAACCGCAAGCCAGCAAACGCTTTCGTAAGAATGAGCAGGAAACGAATAAATCGATTTTAAGTACAGTAAAATCGTGAGGGCGTTCTAATATGAGCATGCAAAAAAGTACATTATGTAATTAAAAAAATTTGCATATCTGTATAAATTTGCAATAATTCATTAGAGTGAGGAGCATTTCAAGAATAAACAAGCATAATCGATAAATATTGATTGCTCAGTAAACACTATAGCATAAAAATTTTGAGACAGTATTTTATACTGTCTTTGTTACTTTTTATGGCATATTTATGTATAGGATGAATACATCAAAAACTTATTCTTGAAACAAAAAATAATTTGCATCATATTTTTCTCACAAAATGGTAAATCACTTTCATTTTTTAAAATTTTAATCAAGATTGTAAGAAAATTTACAGTTTTAGCAGTATTTCCTCCATAAATTGAATACAGTATTTGCTAAGAAATTGAAAAAGTTTTTTATTTGTGTCTTGTTCAGTGATTTAAATTGAATTTTCGTATTTGAATTAAGTTTTCTTTAAACGGATTCTTCTAAGAAATAATCAAAAAATGCAAAATTCTGCAATTCAAAAAACTTAGAAAGTGATTAAAAAATTAATAAACAAATGTTCGTGCACACTTATAAGCGATTTAGCTTTGAAAGGTTCAATTAAAATTTTTTAAAATAAGTAATTGAAAGACTTCTTAGCCTTGCGGAGGTGCAGAGTGGTTGGCTCTGAGCGGCTGTGTTCAACAAACATAAAATGGAGGCTATAAGGAAAAAGTCCGCATCTGGAACCATAAATGGAAACAATGCAAAAACAGGTGCGAGTGGGAAAAGCTATGTGAAGGGTGTAAAAGAACATACTACCAGTGTACCGGAATCCGGTGCTAGCAGAATGATCATGCATGAGGCACTCGTTCGTGGAATCGAAATCTCGTGAAGCAGTGGCTATGAAACGTGCTGAAAGCGGTCCTTGACCGATTTGGAAGAATTCCGAAAGGAGGATGGCCATTGTGTCGGTCTCTTATAGCGAGAAGTTTTCGCTATACGACCGATGAGGATATCATGAAATCTATGGCAGAAGAAGTTAAAAGATTTCTTGATGTGGTAGGCCTAGAAGTGAATTTAGCAAAGTCAGCCACTAATACCGAGGTATGCGCTGATG